GTAGGTGGAGCAGATATTTCCTTCCCAATGAAGAGTCTGACTGTAGAGCGATCGAATTCAGGTGTAATTGAAGTAAATTGGCCAAGTAAAACGCTGAAAATAGTCAATAGAAGCACGACTGCAAAAACATGTCTGCACGCCATGACTAATTTGTACGTTGGATCAGCGATGATCTGATCGGCCCAAAATAACGATTATGAAATATAAATATAGAGGTAAGACCGTTACAACGTAGATAAGTCAATTTTAAGACGGAGCACCATATTTCGGCTGGCCAAACCAGCCTTCTTGAGGTGCAGTGAGAATTAATTCCCACTGCACCTGAACAAGGCTGGTTTGGCCAGCCGAAATATAGTGCTCCATCTTAAAATTTAGTTATCTACGTTGTATCGGTCTTGCCTCTCATAATCGTTATTTTGGGCCGATCAGATCATCGCTGATCCAACGTACAAGAGTAGGAGGCAACCAACATGTTCAGCAGGCAACCAACGTCCATGGTTGCCTGCTGAACATTGCACTGTTTGAACACTCCCAACAACAGACTACGCATGTAGTAGAGGTGGCTTCAAGTGTGGCCCTTGTTAAGCTTTAACTGTAACACAGCACAAAGTTGATAAGGTCGAGAGATGGGAGCAGGAGAAGAATGCATGAGACAAAGAAACCAAGTTAAAACGGTAGTCCTTTTTATTGTAGAGTCTCGTATTTACGATGAAACACAATTCTTCGTCCTTTCCTGAAGAAACGTAGCTTTCAAATTGTGAAAATTTTATAACTTAAGTCAAATGAAAAACAAAGAGGTGCTCTAACTGATCTCTATGAATCAATATATTGATTTTTTATCAAACCGTAGTTTGAAACTTTGATTTATTGACGAATCAATCAAGGCAACTAAGAAAAAGTAATAACTTGTTTTTTGTAATTCCAAGAAACAATTAATTCGCAACAAACGCATTTCTGATTGCTTGTGGCCTACATCTCATTTCGACTTACATACATGTTAATTACAGCGTTTTCCTCAACCTAACAAGAATAAACATAAGAGCTTACTGAAAATGTTACTCTAGATGTTGACGGTAAACTAACAAAAATGTTTTGCTTAAACTTAAAGATGCCATCACCTTGACAAATGTAGCCGCTCTCAAAAAAAAGAAAAACATAGAGCCTGCATGACAAGGCTGGCAGTCAGCTGAAAAACATTCTTGAATTTTCTATATTTAAAAGACTAAAAAAAAGGGAAAAAACAAAAGAACTGACTTAACATCAGTTTCTTTGTACAGACTTGTCGTAGTTCCTTGTATTTATTTAATGACCAATAACCATTTGACGAAATTTCTAGCCTAAGTCTAAAAGTTTTTGGCAACTGTATTTGAATTAAGCTAACCTAGTAGCTAAAGTAATTCGTGGCTCACCATCAGAAAACTTTCCAGAATGACAAAAAAGCGGCGGGATCATAACGCATTCATTTATTAACCTTGCCTTGAACAGTTNAGGCCCTCTTTTTCCTTTATGACCAACAAGTATACGAATGATCTCATTTTTGGTCAAAATAAAGTTTCCGATCATCCTTGCTCCTCTTCCTCCATTCTGGATGACACTGTCCTTACCATACCACCCTGCAGCCCCTATAGCTTCTATTTTATATTCTCCAGTGTATGGCACAGTCCATCGTTGAATGCCACTGGATACGGTAACTTGTCCGTCATGATCTTTCCCTGTATAGTGACCGCCAAGTGAGCTTGGACCGCTAGTTGCAGTCGAACCAAGATTTGTAAAGACAGCTTTAAACTCTAGGTAGATAGACAGAAAAGGAATGACGCTTTATTGTTGAAGGCCATACGGCTGCCTAACTGATAGCAAATATGCCTTCAGCGTACTCTGAAAGTAATGGGAGAGCGAAGAAATCTACTCGCGCCTTGTTTGACAAAGTAGCGGGAATAGTTGTCACCCGACCGCGCCCTTACCTATGCACATGTTTCTTCCATCCCCGATTAATCCTGCTTTGCAGGAGCAATTGTAAGAGCCTTCAGTGTTGTTACACGTGGCGTCAGCATGGCATCCATGCAGACCTTTCTCACATTCGTTGACGTCTACGATAAGCATAAAAATGATACCATCAGTTGACCTCCTTTTTATAACAGGAAGCAAAGAATACAGCGTTGAACTTACCTTGCTCGCAAAAGTTTCCAGTCCACCCGGATGAGTTACACACGCACATGTAGTTGACGTGTTGTTTTACACACCATGCACTGTTTTGGCACTGGTGTTGGATGCAGTAATCTGCAACTAAATGGGAAACATCTCCAAATAACATTCACTTACACTTGATCAAAGTCATCAGGAAATATTTGTCTTCCTAACCTTCTGTTTTCATGTCACAGTAAGCTAGAATAGGGTTTCCAGACCTGATGGAATCCAACCAGTAATTACCGCTGACCACTTGTCCTCCCTCACTCGCCTTAATCTCTCTGCACGAATAGGCAGGCAACTCAGAAATGGAGCCGAGA